CGGGGGTACCCATCTGCGATAGCCTTAGAGGGCGGAGCTTACACGAAATAGAACTATCCACGTCATCATTTACCCAGAATGCTTTGTGTGTAAATAAAATGGCCCCGTCCGTGTAATATATTTTTAAACTTTTGGTTTAAAAATTATAAAAACTAAACATCCTACAGTATTTTTACAGTCTTTATTTTACGGTTAAATATATATGTTTATTAAATAAAGTCTAATGTTACAACTAATCCTGGATCCATTTAAACCTAAGAAGCTGGAGGCGTCCCGCAGGGACAGCCGACCTTTGTGGAAGCTGGTGTTGGCGATGAGGGCGCGGCACAGCGGGCAGGGCGTGTCCGTCACACGGTTCTGGCCGAGCGTCCGGAGACACGGCTCGCAGAAGACGTGTCCGCAGGGCCGGCAGGCGTACGGGCTGAAGAACACGTCCAGGCACACGGGACAGGTGAGGCCGTCTCTGTGCCCCGCCCCCTCAGAGTCCAGCGGTGAACCGTTTTCAGCCTGAAAAACAGAAACTATGAAAGATTTCAGGATCTGGTTCGACACGACGGAGGGAAAGAAAAACATCTTCCTGTCCAGAAAAGACACCAWCAATGACCTCAGATAAACAACTGCTGCTGTTGCTCCACAACCAGGAGGGGTCACAGGTCATTCTACAGCTAAATTCACCCCAAAGGGCAGACRGTGCAGTGCTCAGAGAATCTACAGTTAGCAGGTTAAAGGCAGTGAGCACAGTTCGCTAATCAGCTAACAGCATAATTTTATGTGTTAGCATTTTAGCATTTTACATTTATTTAGTAAACATTTATCGTTTTCAACTTCCTCTCTATTTTTTTCTGCTGTGTATCTGCTCACTTACTGGGGTGTTTGTTTTTTAAACTTTAATCCAAATAAAGCTTATAAAATAAATAAATTTAAATATGTGATTGGTTGATGGAACGGCGAAAGTATTCTGTTCCTGTTTCCACAAATATTTTAATCCTTTTTAAGTGATTCGCATTAGCTTTTGCTAAATTTTCTTATCCTATTTAATGGTTAGCGTTACCTTCCACAATTATTTTAATTCTTCTTAGTGATTAGCATAAGCTTTTGCTAAATTTTAATATCCTATTTAACGGTTAGCATTGGCTTCCACGGTTATTTTAATCCTTTTTAGCAATTATCATTAGCTTCCCCTAATTTTTAAAATCTATATAATGGTTAGCGTGAGCTTCCACAATTATTTTAATCTATTTTAGTGATTAGTACGGAGCCTGCGAGGGGCCGTGGGGGGATTTTTTTCTTTTGTGTTCCCACGCAATACTTTTTTGTTCCCTCGCAATACTTTCTTGTTCCCTCGCAATACTTTTTTGTTCCCTCGCAATACTTTTGCATTCCCATGCAATACTTTTGCATTCCCATGCAATACTTTTGCATTCCCACGCAACACTTTTGCGTTCCCTCGCAATACTTTTGCGTTCCCTCGCAATACTTTTGCGTTCCCTCGCAATACTTTTGCATTCCCTCGCAATACTTTTGCAATCCCTCGCAATATTTTTGCGTTCCCTCGCAATATTTTTGCGTTCCCACTTAATACTTTTGCATTCCCTCGCAATACTTTTGCGTTCCCTCGCAATACTTCTGCGTTCCCTCGCAATACTTTTACATTCCCACTTAATACTTTTGCATTCCCTCGCAATACTTTTGAATTCCCTTGCAATACTTTTGCGTTCCCTCGCAATACTTTTGCGTTCCCTCGCAATACTTTTGCATTCCCTCGCAATACTTTTGCGTTCCCTCGCAATACTTCTGCGTTCCCTCGCAATACTTTTACATTCCCACTTAATACTTTTGCATTCCCTCGCAATACTTCTGCGTTCCCTCGCAAAACTTTTGCGTTCCCTCGCAATACTTTTGCGTTCTCTCGCAATACTTTTGCGTTCCCTCGCAATATTTTTGTGTTCCCTTGCAATACTTTTGCATTCCCTCGCAATACTTTTGCGTTCCCTCGCAATACTTTTGCGTTCCCTCGCAATACTTTTGCGTTCCCTCGCAATACTTCTGCGTTCCCTCGC